GTAGTTCATTCTGCAATAATATGAAATAATTTGACTTGTTTTCTTGATCCATACCAATAGATATAAGACTTAATTTAATACCGAACAGCTGTCCATTCCTCTGTGTCCTATTTGATTGTTTCCTACATTTAAGCAGTAAGGGTAGTAGGAAACTGGCTGTTGCTCAGTTATTTAGGTCTTACATCATTTGGAGTGGTTCACTTCAAAGATCTGCCCTTTACATCGACTCCTCAACATACCATTTGAACACATCAGCTCCTTTAATACAAAACAAATACCTTATTAGATGTACATTCATTAAAATTAGTTATATATTCTGTTGATCACATTTCTGTTTAAATTAGACACCATGCTCTAAACAACTAGCAATACAGTGAAGCCCCTATTTTATGAACAAATTAGGAATTGAAGGATTCAAAAAACCAAGTTCATAAAATGAACATCTCAGAATTACATTAGGTATGATTCATAAATTTATTGTTCACTGACAGCATATGTAACAAATGTATATATTGCGTATGGATTTTTTTCTGTTTGCAAGAACTGTATCTTTGCTGCCAAATCTGTCTCTTACAAATCTGTACAGCTGCTTGAATACTGGCTGAAAGATTGAAATCACATTCCACTGCAGAGGGATGACTTCAGTTTTAAGGGGGGGTGGAATCAAAGCAAAACAAAAAGGATCTCATAACTGGTTGTTTATAAGATGATTGTTCCTAAATTGCAGCTGTATTTTGATGGTGGCTAGGTTGCCAAGGCAGTGATTCCTCTTCATATGGAAAGGGATCTTTTACAGAAGGCCTTTAAATATTTTTAGTTTTTGAGTTTCTTTAGATTTGTCTAGTAACGTTATACCTTGAATTTCTGTTGGGTAGCATATTATGATCTAATTAACTCTTTTACAGACTTACAGTCAACATAAAGCTTATAAAATAGGAGAAAAAGATACAAGAAAATTAATTCACAACTTAGCAAGAGTTTGTGGCTAAGCCTCCTTAGTTATCTGTTTGTACTTACTCAAAATCCGTTTCCTTTGTTGGGAGGAAACACAGAAATGGCATGTGCTATTGGATTTGATTTAAAGGCTTAGATTTAGGCCTAAGTTTTGTCAAGGTTCTCTTTTCTATATTATTACATTAATTTTTTTCCTGTATTGTCATTGCATTAAATAAGGGTGGTGGAATTTTGCCTCCGATCCTGTGGATGAGACAAAGAAATTTTAAAGGGAAGCAGCATATCTTGTGTGCTTATTGATTTAGGCTGAAATATTCTGTTTGGTGCTCATCCAAAAAAACTATAGAAGAAGAATGTAAAACAAAAAGGCATATAAACTGTCTGATCTGCTTTCTTGTGGCTCTCTGCATGATTTAGTTTTCAAGCAAATCACTTATTTATAAATGGGACATCATTGTAGAAATAAAAGGAAGAGCTTGTTTGGAAATCTTCCGAAGCAACTCGCTGGCTAGGTGCCAGCATCCGGCTTTTTAGGCCTCTCTCCAGTAATGGGGAACAAGATCTGTGTTCTGAAAAAAGGTGTAATATCTTGAAGAAAACAGGCAAAGACTGTGACAGGTTGAGCTAAGAGACTGACTGACCAGCTTTATAACTGATATCAGGAGAAGAGTCATGGCTTCAATAAGGAACATGGTATCAATCTTGTATCCAAATTGTTGGCCTATACATATCCAATTCTATTTGTTGGTGATGCTTTGCATCTTCCATTCAGAGCCAGTTATTTCATTTTACTAGTAACCTTTTTCTCTACAGTCACTGGGTTCATATGTTTTTGTTTGTGTATAGGATTTTCATGGGTGTCTAGTAATCTTGTGCCAACTTGGAGTGGCGGGTTACAGTGGTAAGGCTAAGAAGAAATAATCACATGACAGATCAGCACACTTTGAGGTGGATTAATGCTAAGACACTTAAGTTGTGTCGTATGTTAGCTTTAGCACTATGCTCTACATGTATAATACATGTACAACCTAAGGATGTAAGCAACTACTCGAGTAGTCAACTATCCAATACGCTTAGGCTAGTTTGTGTGGAGGGGAAAGCCACAGCGGTCCCAGAGCCAGCATGAGCCGGGACTGCTTAGTCCTGTCTTGCGCCGGCCTCGGGAGCTACCCTCTCTAGGGATGTTAAATTTCAATTAATTGAATAATCGAATAGACTCTGGGATTTCCATTAACTATTCAATTAGTCGATAAGGACTAGAATGTTCTGCCGTTGAAATGTACAAAAGATTGAAAAGCGACATGGAGCCTGGAGCCAGCGGGGAGTCCCCCTCTAGCCTCTGGCTCCATGCAGGCACTTCCCCTTTGAAATGTACAAGGGCCCCAGCGGAGGCTCTTGTACATTTCAAAGTTGGAACGCTGCATGGAGCCTGGTCAGAAGGCAGCTCCCTGCTGGCCTCGGGCTCCATGCTTCGTTTCAATCTTTGAAGTGTACAAGAGCCCCAGCGGAGACTCTTGTACTTTACAAAGTTGATACACTGCTGCTGCGCCCCTGCCCCCTCCCACAGAACTGGAGCTGGGGGGATCTGACTTTTAAGCCAGTTTCCCCCAGCGCTCTCACCTCTCTTCCTTCCCCCTGCTGCCTCTTTGTGATAGAGGCAGCAAGGGCTGGGGGAAGCAAAAAGGGGGGGGGCTGGGGGAAGCAACTAGGGTGTCAACTATCCAATAAGCTTTTGCTTATTGGATAGTCAACTAGTCAGTCACTTACATCCCTGACACCCACTGCAGCTCTGCAGTTGAACTGAAATGTAATAGGAGCCAGGCTGCCTGCACTCCTGGCTCCTAGTACATTAAACTGCAGAGCCACAGCAGGGGTAGCGAACCACCCCCCCTCCATTGACTAATCAAATAGTCAATGGAAATTCCATCTACTACTTGATTAGCTAATTAACCACTACTTAAAATCCCTAGTTCAAAATGTGCCTTTATTATACTTTCTGATATGTCAGAGTTACAGTACTTCATTCTGTCATAGACTATATCTTTTATCCATCTCTGATCTAGACTGTCAGTTAACAACATTTGCTCAACTGGTGTTGAGTAATTAAGTATATTAAGAGTCTAATGGAATCATTGTGCAGTAACTTCTTTGGAAGGATTACACAAAAGGGTCAATGTAAAGGGGAAGTGAGATGAGGCACAAGTTGGTGCGAGGCTAGGCATGCTTTTAGCCTAAATCCAAAATACATCCTCTGAGATTTATGATTGATATATTTACTGTAAGGTCCTGCACTATCATGTGGGTAAACCAGATCAATTTCTAATCTTTCTGAACTGGAAAGCAGGGTCTTGTAGTTGCTGCAGGGCTGCTTCAAAAAACAGGCTTTAACAAACAGACCGGATAGGTAGGGTCCCATGGGAAGAAGCGCTAAAGGTTAAAGGGGTTCAGGAGAATAGATGGTTTCTGAAGGAGACAGTCTGCAGGCACCCCTTTATACCATCCCAGTGCGAAGGAAAGAGCCACACTGGCTGCTTATGTTTCCTATCAGAAGCACTTTAATGACCTGAAATCAAAAGGGAATCGTGCAAAAACTGTAAGCACAGACAAATTGCTAAGGAGATGTATGTAAGGATAGCACGAACATATATGGGGCAAAATCAAAGTCAAAGGCACAAAATGAGTTACACCTAGCAAGGGATATAAAGGGTAATGAGAAGTAATTATTTATATAATAAGATGAAAGAAGGCATAGGTCTTCCACTTGATTGGGAAGGAGAGCTAATTGATTACATTAAGAAGACTAAAGTGTTTAATGCCTATTTTGCTTCAGTTTTCGTTGAAAAGGTTAATTGTGACCAGATATTTAACATAATTAAATGTTTAATAAGGGAAAGTAATACAAGTGAAAATAAGAAAAGGAATAGGCTTCCGAGAGAGATTGTGGAATCAGCGTCACTGCAGACCCTTAAGAACAAGTTGGAAAACACGTATCAAGTGTGGTCTAACACTGTCTGCTTGGTTCTGTGTTAGCTTAGGAGGCTGGAGTTGATAGGTGCTTGAGATCTCTTCCAGCTCTATCTTGTCTGATACAGTGTATTGTACACACTGAATGTAGATGAAGATAATGTCTCATACTGTTTGATATCTGTCCCTTTCAGCTGATTATTCTAGCTAAGTGTATCAAATTTAGCCTGTTCAAATCAAGCTTTAATCACATATTGTTTAGTTATTGCAACAAACAAAACACAATCATAAGCACTCTGCTTCAGTAGTTCTTTATGTAATGCCTTACTGCTAGATAAATGTAAGCCTCATAAATGTTCTGATCACCTAACCTCTTAAAGATGACCTAGGGAAGATAAAATCCCAAATTCCAATACTTTTACCAATATACAATCAGTATCCCAGCAGCCACACTGAATTTCATCAGCACATGACCCCTAAAATTGTAAATGTGCTATATAAAAGCCCTTAACATTGCCTTTTGGGAGGGCATTCAGCACACAGCTGCAAACCTACAAAAATGTCATCCATCCAAATAAGCAGAATATTTGAACATCTTTAATTTTTGTGCCTTTGGCAATGGTGGTGGAAGGGGAAACAAAATGGGGTGATCCTATTCAATAGGCCAACTTTATATTGTCCCTTTTAGGAGAGAAGTAAATCTTGGTAGTAGGTAAACATCTTTCACAGGTATATAACTTGAGAGACTGTCTGTGGTCTCAATAACGATGACATTTTGGGGGATGACTAATGCCCATTTGTTTTTGTCTTTCAGTAGAATGTTGCCTAATGGCTGTGGTATTACTGTGACTAGAGTTACAGGCACTTTTAAATTAGTGAGTCAGCAAACATAATGAAAAAGGAGAGAATTATGGGGCATGTGAATTACTTAATCTTGAATTGAAGGTTGTATTTTTAAAGGGATGTGACATTTAATGGGCATGTGTCAGAATGTTATACTGAGTGTACACAGGAAGTACATTCTGTAAGTTCTTCCTGAATGTGAAGAAATAAATCAGTCGAGTCCTTTGCTTGTAATATAGGCAGTCATTCACCAAGAGATTTTGTGGCACAAAGGACAACTTACTGACAACAAGTCCAGCAGAATTTTTGGAATACTGAGAGTCCCACGGCTTTGCATCTTCAGGTATTGACGGACTGCTGGGGTAAGAAACATATTGTATAAACTTTAGGGATATGATTAATACTTTTCAAATTGCTACATTGTTTGTATTTTTAGTGGTGTCTTATCACATCTGTTCCAATGCTTCTCTTCTAGTATTTTGAAATATTTGTACATACAGTCCTCATCTGTTATGTTTAAAAAGTTTCTTTTTTCGTCTCAGGAGAGGGATGATGATGATGATAATAATCAGGGCTTGACAAAGGACGGTGAAAGCCGCTCGCCAGCCCTGCACTGTGCATGCGCAAGAGTTGCATTCCGCATGTGCACGCCGCCAGTAAACGGGGCGCGCGGCTGAAATCTACTCGCCACGGGCTAGTAGATTCTATAGTTTGTCGAGCCCTGATAATAATTAATAGCAGCAGTGTGGTACATGGGAAGGTGGCCTCAGGTTGGTCTGCAAGTGTCTGTGTGTTTAAGTGCTCTATATACTCTAACGCCAATGTTACTGTAGTCCCTATGTAGTGAGCATAGGGTTGCCAGGTGTCCAGTACTGAACCAAACAGTCTGTTGTTTTTGCCTCTTGTCTAGTAAAAAAAATTCAGAAAATACTAGATACCTAAAATGTCTGGTACTTTCTGATTTTTTTTTTTTTCCCCCTGCAGCTAGGAGGTGAAAATCCCGGGCTGTCCGGCTTGATACGGAGGCAGCCTGGCAACCCTAGTGCTTACCAGGTTCCGCAGGGGAGCTGTCCGGCCCAGTGCAGGGAGGCAAGATGGCGGGTGGCCGCCAGCAGCTTGTTAGGGCCAAAAAGCCTCAAAAGCATTTCTTTAAGGGGCCACACTAGTGGTGGTGGTTGGTTTTTTTCCTCTTCTCAACTTTCGTCTTTCTCTCTCTTCCCTCCCCCCCCCCAACACTTTTTTTTTTTCCTCAGCAGAATTTTTTTCCCCTGTGTTGGTTAAACCATCTGGCAACTCTGAGCAGGGTTGGCTGCTCACTGACCCTGAGGAAGAAGAGCCCCCCTCTGAGCCCATGTGGACTGAGCCAGAGCCTACTCCTTTAAGTCCAGAGAGGCCTGAGGGAGGGGCAGGAAGTATAAAAGCTAGGCCCAGAAGCTCAATAGGGGGCCAGCTGTTGGAGGGAGCAGAGGCCTACCCTAAAGACGCTGAGGAGGTGGCCAAGGTGTCCCAGGCCTTGAGGAGGTGACCCTAACCTTGGACTACACAGACCCTGTGAATCCATCGCTGCCTGGGAGCCAGGTACAAACTGAAGGGGAATCAGGAAGTGGCCCAGGGGAAGGGGAGGATGGTCAGGTGGACCTGATCACCCTTTAAGGTATGTCAGCATACTTAGGGATGGATTCCCTGCTGACCCCAGTGGACGCCAAAGCTGCCAATGCTTGGGCCCTGGACTGGGACGCAATGGAGTAGAGAGGGCCTGCATCCTCCCAGTCACCGTCATATTGGGTGGCAGTCTCCTCCTTCCCACTTGTGTTGTGAAAGCTGTTTGTTTGCCTGCCCCACCCTGAAACAGGACCGGGGCCACCATTTGACTTTGAGAGCTTTTTATTTGCCAACCTGCCTTTGGGCCCTTGGTCTTAAAGGGGCTGCCAGGCTAGGAAGTATAGGCTTGAGCACCGGGCAGGGGCCCAGGACTGAGCGAGAACGCTTACACCCTAATATAAACATATACAAACTTAGGGTGGCACATGGACAGGCACCATCAATTCAGAACCTGAAAAGTATGGACATAAATTAAAGGAAAACCTTGTCCTCTTTACTGCTTTCACATTGCTGATAATACTCTATAACCTTTCACTTTGCCCTCTCAACAGCTCACAAAAAGTAATGTATACCCATATTCCTCAAACTTACATTTTGTCACAGACCTGGCCTCAGTCATTCTTGTAGAAAAATTGGCACGTATGACTGTCACACATTGCATATACAGGCAGTCCCCGAGTTACGCGGATCTGACTTACGTTGGATCCACAGTTACGAACGGGGTTTTTCTCGCCCCGGAGGATGGGAGAGGCGGGACGCCCAGATGCGCCGCGGTCCCACCGCCTGCGTCCTCCGGGGCGAGAAAAGCTGCTCCGCATCTCCCTGGTCTGCTGGGGGGGGGAGCCCCCCCTCCCAGCAGACCAGGGAGACGCTGAGCAAAGCCCCGGAGCACGTGTGCAGCGGGACAGCCCAGACGCACCGCGGCTGTCCCGCTGCCCGCATGCTCCGCGGCTTTGCTCCGCGTCTCCCCAGGTTCCCCCCAGCAGACCAGGGAGACGCGGAGCGGCTTTTCTCACCGCGGCTTTGCTCCTTGTCTCCCCAGGTTCCCCCCAGCAGACCAGGGAGACGCGGAGCGGCTTTTCTCACCGCGGCTTTGCTCCTTGTCTCCCCAGGTTCCCCCCAGCAGACCAGGGAGACGCGGAGCGGCTTTTCTCACCGCGGCTTTGCTCCTTGTCTCCCCAGGTTCCCCCCAGCAGACCAGGGAGACGCGGAGCGGCTTTTCTCACCGCGGCTTTGCTCCTTGTCTCCCCAGGTTCCCCCCAGCAGACCAGGGAGACGCGGAGCGGCTTTTCTCACCGCGGCTTTGCTCCTTGTCTCCCCAGGTTCCCCCCAGCAGACCAGGGAGACGCGGAGCGGCTTTTCTCACCGCGGCTTTGCTCCTTGTCTCCCCAGGTTCCCCCCAGCAGACCAGGGAGACGCGGAGCGGCTTTTCTCACCGCGGCTTTGCTCCTTGTCTCCCCAGGTTCCCCCCAGCAGACCAGGGAGACGCGGAGCGGCTTTTCTCACCGCGGCTTTGCTCCTTGTCTCCCCAGGTTCCCCCCAGCAGACCAGGGAGACGCGGAGCGGCTTTTCTCACCGCGGCTTTGCTCCTTGTCTCCCCAGGTTCCCCCCAGCAGACCAGGGAGACGCGGAGCGGCTTTTCTCACCGCGGCTTTGCTCCTTGTCTCCCCAGGTTCCCCCCAGCAGACCAGGGAGACGCGGATTGTTTTGCCTCAACCGTACAAAGCTTATTAAACTTTTGAGCTGGAGTGAGTTTGAATTTGGGGTGTGGTATGTATTGCTTGTTGGTGTCTGTTGGAGGTTGAAATTAAAGCTTTATGAAGTCTGGGAGTGCTCTAGGCTAGTTTTTTTTTTTTAAGTTACCAGTCTATAGATCTCCCTGAAACAGTTTAGAGGGGCAGCAAGCTGGTCTCTGGTATGAAAGGCTGAGAAACACTGGCCTAATCAATGTCAAAATGGCACAGAGTGCAGAAACTCTTTCCATCTCAGTTTTGCATTGATGGGATTCATCCTGATTCAACTTTAGCTGTCATTAAGGTTTATTTCCTATTTTGTTGATGGATTTGGTGTACTGTAGTGGTAGGTCTATAAAGTCACAAGGGAGGTAGAAGATGATACTTATATTTAAGTTATAATTTACAGATAATTGTCCTTAATTCCCCCAATTTTTTTATTAAAAACAAGTTTATTAATTCCATCTGTTGCATGCAATCACACTAACCCCTTTGCATGGGTCAGCAGCAGGGTTGGAACACTGGATTTTCAGACTCCAAGTTCCGATCTTAAAGTAGAAGTATGGTTGAACTTCTGTGGTCCAGGACTTTCTGGTTCAGC